TAAACTTCAATACAATATGAAAACTAATAAGATGCATGAATGATGAGTTCTTTCATTTTCTGTTTTCTCTTTATACTCTCCTAATTTCCCCCCTTCCCTCCAAAAAGCATTGCTTAAGAGTCTTAAAAAAAAAACCAACCTTCCCCTGTATGCATCCATCTCCCTGAAATTTGTGCGAAAAAGATGATTCAGTAAGGTACTTTTCCTGAACAGAAGAGCAATAGAAGTAAGAGATTAGATCTAACATTTAATATGAAAAGTGAACTTAATAAACTGCGTGCTGTAGACTGTTACTATGTCCCTTTCTTTGCCCTCCAATACCAGTTTCAATATCCATCTTACATTCCATTGATTGTAATTAATTATGCATAGTATTAAAAAATTTCGTGACCAATATTACTTTAACCTGCCAGTGACATCAATAAAATTCAACACCATCCCAAATTCTTGAAACAGTTTTGGTTTATGTGATGATGGTTTGTCAGTTAAATCGCCAACTTCAACCAGCATTACCTGACTCCAAGGACGAAACAGTTCCTTCCACAAACTCCACCCCAATTTAAAGGAAAAAAAATAACGGGGGCCCGAAGGAGCATCAAAAACAAAAATATTAAACCAAAAAGCTCTTTAGAGCTTATGTCTGTTCTACAGCAGGCCCATTTCCATAAGGTAAGACAGACTGTAAAAACCAGCCAACGGCCAGAGTAAGGGATTCTTCCTAGATTTGAGAGGATGGCTTATTCGGATCCACATAGTACAATTCGGGCAAACAATAGATTAGGTTCTCAAGAGATTGAATATTGCAGTACAGTAACTAAGCTAGAACAATGACAGCTATCGTTCACAAGTTTCCAGATATGCATAGAAGAAGGACAAGGAAAACACATAAGCAGGAGAGGAAGTTTAAAGCCGTTAATTCAAGCTCGCCAAGATTCAAGAATCCAACTCAAAACTCCTTAGAGGATTAACTCTATTGAGCTAAATCTAAATGACCAGTATTCAATTTCGAAGTTCAGAAACCCGTATCCACGCACTTAGCCACTTACCACTACTCTGGGGACCCATAACAGCGACTACCGCATAGGAAAGGCCACAGTCGGCGACCTTCGCTTTCTTCATGAAAGCGTCCAACCCAGCAACATTGAACACGCCGTCGCCGTCAATGAGTTGGGTAGCGCAACAATCTTCCTCCCCCATGGTTCACTGCTCACAGCAAGTGAAAACCGACTTCGCCGAATTAAAAACAGCGAGAAACCAAGTGAATTAGGAAGAATCAGAGCAAAATGAAAAGCTTGATCAAACTCAGTTCAGCGACAGGCGTCACCTTCTATTATGATGTGAGATGAAGATTTCTTCGCCTTGGGAGATTCTATACACAGTGTAGGTGAAGGAACTGGGCGCACGAGGAGAGCAGAGAGAGAGAGAGAGAGAGAGAGAGACGAGTCGTGATGTGTCTTCCCCCTGAGTAGGTTGGAACTCGGGACTCGAACCGATGACTAGTTCGGAACTTGAGAACTTTGTTTAAACCATTATTTTAATTGAAATTTTGATTGATGTTTTTCAGGCAATTAATAGAAATTTTAATTAAATTGTGTGTTTCTCTTATTTTAATATTAAAATAGGATATTAGAAACAGGGGGAAAAACTTAAGTTGATTTGCTTAAATTTATTACTATCTTCGGTTCTTAATATAAGACCTTATTTGACTTTTATTTTGATCCTAAATATAAGATCTCAATCTATTTTGTCTCTCATATTTATGTAACTTTTCCTAAGGTAGTCTTTCTAATAATGATAGTTCTAGCCAATATACTTGATTAGCAAGGATATTTTAGAAAAGACAACATCCATTTAATTATAAATAGCTAATTTAATTTCTTCTTTAATCTACTCAAATTAGTCAACTAGCTCTTATATTTAGAACCGGAGGTAGTATATCTAATTTTCAATCAAAAGGGTGTAATGGGGTTTCCAAACACTCCTAGTGACATGAGACTTTGCTATTGTTTTAATTTTCAGGCAAATGATATAATTTGCATTATTAATGCTAATATAATAAAATTCTAAAATTTTATCTATGCGAACTCTTGCTACTAAAAAAATCAAGCACTAAAATTTAATAAAAAAAATTTATAACTTAATAAATATAAATAAATGGACTTGAATTTTTTTTAAAACAATCGTAAAGATGTGAGGAGATATGATCATTTTAGTTATTTTATAAAAAAAAAATCAAAATTTGCTTTTTTAAGAGCCAAAACTATTGCACTCTTAAATAATAGTTGCTACGTGTGATTGGAGAATGAATATAAAATTTTTATTTTTAGGTCACTTGCACTAAATTCATTTTAACAGAACAATTTTCAGGGCCCTTTTTGGTGATTTCTCTTTTAACAAAACAATTTTGTTGAGCAGATTTTTTCTGGCCTGTTAAGATAAATGTAATAAGTATTTTGAATCATTTCATCCCGACACAATAACCGCAGTTTAAAGTAAAACCTGATGACCTGAAAATTTTGGTGGCAAGCAATTGTGCACATCATCAAGCATCATGAGTAATTAAAATAAAATTGCAATAGTGATGACCACTACGCATCATGGTCACTCGTTAGTTTACCCTTACCCTTGGTTTTTCTTTTATAAATTACGCACAGCTGATACAAAAGTAGTTTTCACGGTTAAGAATAAAAAAGAGCAAAATCTTGTCAATGATGCCTAGTCCCAAAAGTCACGAAACAAACCTCAAATGCTTCATTGTTTATATTGCATGAAGATGTTTTGGCGTTAAATTAGCCTTTGAACTTGCATAAATCATTTCATTCTAGAAAGCACAAGCCCCCGGGGAACATCAGATTCGCGTTCTTTTTCTTTTCTGTTTTTTTGGGCCTGACAGGTTCGCATTATTGTACAAGTATCTTAAATACAGGCTTTAAAATTTGGCAGGAAGCCGCATTAAAAAAAAAAAAACCAGAAAAATGCCAAAGCATCTCTAGCGAATAATCAACTACAGTGTTTCTGAAACCCATGCTTGTAAAACAAGCTCTTGACATGTCCAATTCATTTGAACAAATGGGTTAATCCCGCGCATCACAAGCTCTTCCAAGAACTTCTGGGTATCATCAGAAAGAAATAACACGTTCAATAAGACTGCGTATAAGCCTTGTCCAGCATTCAGCTCCAGGCTGGTCGGAGGGCTAAGCAATAGCACAAATATGTCAAGTTTCTAAAGGTTTCAAGGTTTTCAAGCTATATAGAAACAATGATCTCACACTGCAAAGTAAACTCCCTACTATGTTAGGGCAATTTCTCACATTCTTCCCACTATTTCTAACCACAAACTGAAAAACCTGACATTTTCTTACGATTACCCCATCAACAATCTAATGCCATTGAGATGACCTAGCAAATAGTGGGGTAAGGCTCCCGTATATTGATAGATAATAGATATATAGAAGTTATCACATCACAACTGAATCAATCAGGTTTAAATTCTAAAATCTAAACCACTAAGAAAGGTCATTATGCAATTGCAAAGAGTGCGCAAAAATGACATAAAGATATCATTAGGAACTCGACGTAAAATAAGCAATTGAGGACAAAAAGACAAATCAAATAAAGGTCATTTACTCATGATCATCTATAAATAAGGATAACAAGCATTGACATCGAAAAACCCAGTACCATTAGATAACAAAATGATAGAAATAATACAAATATAAAGACATGATCAAAACCATGAACACCCAAAACTGCCTCGTCAAGAGATGAAGCCAACCCACAAAGGCACTGGAATTAGATGATGTGCCTGATCACTAATCTCCCTTCTTCCTGAAAGAACATCCTTCTGTTAACCGAGCTCGGCCACCCGTTGGCTGGCACAATACGGTCTGGCAATTTCCACAGACAACAACTGTTTGCGAGTGGCTAAATACGGTGGTTCTGCAGGCATAAAATGTTCTAGCTTTAAGACCAAATGTTCAAATCAAGCCTTTCTATTTTTTTCACACTCGCAAAAAGCAGAATAACAAACAATTCAACAGCAGGAAAATTCCACTTGAAAGATATTGATGTTTGAGTAACTTACATATTGAAGCAACCTTGACATTTGACGTCCTACATAGATTCATAATCAAAATCAGAAATAGAAAATAAGAGCAGCAATGATAACTACAGGCACCATTGAACTTAACGAGAGCACGTAAACTGCACACAAGATATATTTGGACTAAAAGTAATTCGATAAACAACATCGTGCCTGACTAAAGTGACTCCTTTTCCAAATAATAGGTCCTTAATTGACGAAGGAAATAATTACCATGAAGAATGAATTCGGAGACTGAACGAGACGTTTAAGCTTGTGCTTCCTCTTTTCGATCTCGGCCGGAGGATTCAGTAAATCGATATCGTTCTGGAGAACCTGAAAACGCCAATGACCACGTTATAACCGCCAAACAGGCATTCGAACGAGCACAGAAGATAAGAAGTCCATCCAATTGTAGAAAAGGAGCAAGAAGTAGATAAAGCACAAGCAACGAGGCCTACCATTGTTGATCTCTCGGCAAAGATCGCAAGCCCCAGAAACTCGAAGAGAATGCAAGGGTGCGACTGCGATAGTGGCGGTAGCTAATATGGAAGCAGCCGGCTTTCCCAGTTGCGGAATATATAAAGGAGAATGAAAATGGACGATGGCCGTTGGATAGTCTTAATAACTTAGATCTCAGCCTTACATCTGTTCGTCGTGAGTAGACCCAGCGTCTAGGGCAAACTGGCTAGAAGTTGGATGGACTTTTTTGCCCCTTACGGAGAAATCATCAAATAAGTTTCAATATCTCATCTCAGTGATTTTTTTTGCGGAGGCAAATAATCTCATCTCATAGTTTATCATCTGCATATTTACTATTTACTATTTACTATTCGTGACTATTACTTGTCCTCATTTAAATTATTTTATTTTATTTTTAAATACATATCATGTTTTAAATTTCAAAATATAATTATTATTTGTTTTCAATAGTATGGGTACAGTGTTAATTAAATTGAAATGCAAAACAATACTGTATAGCATTAAATCTATATGTATAATACACTCGTGGAATTAGTACATAAGATCAGCCGCAGATACTCGATCGGGCTTCCTAATGGGCCATCACAGTTGCAAGCTAGGCCACGCTCCAGCTGAAATAAAAGTAGCCCGTAATGGAAGTCTAAGGACGAAGACAAGAAGCAAGATTCTCTACACTACAAGCAGCTTTCTGGGCGGACCCAAGAGGAGGCGGTGCCGGCGGCATTATTGCAGAAAGCCTGGGCTTCTTGTTCGTTGTAGGTCAGGTTGACATTCTCCAGCCTGAGCGAGTTGCAAGGTTGCTTCGAGCTGCAATCAAATTTCACAGCAACTTCTGAAGCCGATGTACCCCAAATCATTTTGTACTTCACATCCCTAATCTCGATCCCCGAAGCCTGCGCACACAGCCAAATTTACATCTTCATAAATTGCAGGTTTAATCCTGCTCATGATCTCGAACATATTCCTCTAATTTTTTTTTTTTTTAAAGTGTCGAGAAACTAACCTGACGAGGGCAATTGAAGTTATCAGGGCAGTAATGTTGGTCGATTATGATGGGGTTTTGCACATCCTGCATGACTATGTTTTGGAAGACGATTCTCTGTACAAATCCATTGCTGGGCCTGCCCCATGACTTTATTCTCACCCCATTGGTAGTACCCGTCAGGTTAACCGCTTTAACCGTCACCCTCTGCACCCCAGGTTCGTTCAGCTCCCTCGCTAAACTTCCAATGCTGCAGAAATCATTAAGAGTCGCCTCATAATAACTAATTAGTTTCGTTAATCAATCAATAATCTCACTTCAAATATACCTAATTCCATGACCCGGTCCACAAGCTACGTGTTCAATCCTCAGGTCTGAGGTGCCTGGTCCGATGGAAACACAATCGTCGCCGGTGCGAATTTCGGAGTGGACGATGTTGACGTCCGATGACAACTGAACGTGAATGCCGTCGGTGTTGGGGCTGTTTCCCGGCGCCAACACCTTCACGTCTTTCACTCTAACTTTGCGGCACCCGTTGAAGACTATGTGGAACATTTGGCTGTTGAGGGAGGTCAAGCTCTTGATGTGAATGTTCTTGGAGTTGCTGAATCCTAATGTCTGCACACCCACGCCAAAACAAATAAACAACATCATTATATTTTCATCCTTCGTTATTTTATATATAACGTAACCTACCTTCATTTAATTGTTCTTTATGCAAGTAACTAACATGCACAGAATGTGGCTGTGTTATAATTTGTGAGCTTGAACCGTCAGCAACATGCCGTTAACAAGTCATTTAATATCTAATAAGAACAGTAAAACATAAATTTAATTATTAGAATACGAGTACTTATTTTAAAAAACAAGATTGTCGTTGCCGTTTTAGGTTTATTTTGTCATGAGGCAAAGAGGGGGAAAAAAAAAAGTGAGATTCTGTGAAGTTGAAAATATTGCAGACGGATACCAATGTGGAGAGGAGGAGGACAAATTATGATTGTCATTATTTGTCAGATGGCAGAGTTTCATGTCCCCTGTTTGGATGCCGAGAAAATCCATCAATGAGAGATTAATGTAGTAAATAATCCCTCGTTTGCTATTTGCTTCTTCAGCATCCCAAACGATTCCCTTCTCAGGGATCCCCGACCTGAAAAGACGGAATCGCTCCACTACGAACTCTCATTGGCCAGGGCATAAGTGTCAGGGTAGAAGACTAACCGTGGCTCCCGGAGGACAAATTCCGCCGGAGTTCTTGCAATCCCACAGGCGGGCACCTCGGCCGTCGAGCACTCCACCGTTGATGGAAACACCATCAACATGCTCAAACAGCAGCCAATACTCTTCTTCGATGCTCCGCAAGTCGTCGGAAGGAGCGAGGAGCGTGCCATCGATGGTTATAGAGATGTCGTTGTTGTGGCATTGCCCTCGGAAGCGAGCGTGTCCCACCCGGAACACTCCCCGCGGGACAAAGATAGTGGCAGGATAACGAGAACGGCATGCCTGAGACCATGCAGCGAGGAAGGCGTTGGTGGAGTCGAATTCGCCGGAGGGATGGGCTCCAAAACTGACGACATTGAAGGTGGTGAGAGGTTTGGTGCAATAGGCGAAGGTGAAGAAGAAGAAGGAGAGAAGCACTGGTAATGGATGACGAAGAAGATAAGACGCAGTTTGTGGCATTTTGAGGCGTGAAGAAGAAAAAGAAGGAGAAGAGAAGGCCAAGGTGGCGGCAGTGGTGGTGGAGGAGAGTAGTGGAATGGAAGTTAAAGAGCAGAGTTAGAGAGGGAAACTACAGTATTTATAGCTGGAAGGGAGGGGTGAAGTGGAGAGAGTGGAGAGGTTATAGCTATTGGTGTAAGAATGATGCCCCACCACGTTTGATTAATTAATTATTGATTTTAATTAATTAAATGAAATGAAAGCAGAAGGCGAAGGAAAAGCCACACGCAACTTTGGAGTTATACTTCACGGAAGTGCCCTTTGCATGTTTGTCCTTTTGATAACACTCTCATAGTTAATATAAGACCTAATTATTGAGTTAGTTTTAGTCTTAAATATAATATCTATTTCTCATATTTATCAGTCTTCTCTAAATTACCCTTATGGATACTTCATCAATCATAATCAAGTAAAAGAAGAAGAAGGGATATTAAAAAAGGATGATTATGATATTTTAGAAAAAACGTATCATATTTCTTTTAATTAACTAACTTACCTAACTTTCTTAATTTAATCAAATTAATTAAATGAGTCTTATATTAATGATCGGAGGAGTACTATAATTACTACATCTCTCGTGCTTACATCTTTCTAGCATCTATCTAGCCAGACAATAATATCTCTTACTTATCTTGCACTACAGTATCGTGTGAGATCATCGCTCAGTAGTGGTAATTAGTATTTGTAGATATATGTGCTTTCAATTAATTGTTGCTAATGATTGAGCATTAATTAAGCAAATACTGATTTAATTACTTATGTGCATCTTGGGCGTTCCTCTTCAGTTACAGGCATGCGTATGCATTCTCTTTTACGAGTTTCAGACAATTGATGAACTCCCAGGCAATAAAGCCATGTATAACGAGTTCTATAGGTAAATAATAATACTCCCTCTGGTACCATATATAAGTTTTAAATAACCGAATCACTTTTAGTTAAAAATAATAAATAGATGAAAAATATTTTTAAAAAAATTTATCTTCATTTATTAAGAGAATAAATGAAAGAAGCAATAAATAAGAAAATAATAAAAGAGAATATATGGAGATAATATTAATAAGAAAGAAAAAATACTAAATATAGTCAACTAAAAAAAAAAAATAATAAATACTTAAAGACAAACTAAAAAATGACACTTATATTTTGAATCAGAACTCTCTCAAAAAGTGAAACTTATATATAGCTTTGGCTAGGCAGTGATAAATAATAGCATCACGAGTTTAGACAGCTCTGTTTCAGAGCTTTCAGTGACAACCTTGTCTTTTCGTAATTATATTAGACTTTTACTATAATTAAGATATTACTTCCGGTCAATAATATAAAAGTTATATTGACTTTTATTTGATCATAAATATAAACTTTAATTTATTTTACCTCTAGTATTTATTTATTTTTTTTAAAGTTGTCTTGTTGCACGTATTAAAGGTTCTATCAAATGGTAGTTTTAGTTATATATATGATTAACAAGAATATTTTTAAAAAAAAACACCTATTTATTATAAATAACTAATTTAAAGGGTTTTCTTAATCACTTAAATCAGTGAAGTAGCTTTTATAGTAAAGATAAGAGCCTGTGAGTCTTATTGAAATTACTTGTGTGATGTGAAGCCCACACTCTTTGGTATATATGCAGTATTAAAGGATTTATTGTAGGAGACAAAATATATTGTTTCCTGAAAATAATCAAGGCATTTCTCTGTGATTGCGTGATTTGCATCGATATCTACTGCTCTTGAACGTTCATGCGTGCGTGTGGGTATGTTGTCCTTAATTTAACATTAAGAGTGCAGAATTAAAAGAACGGAACGCGCGCCGCACGACTCAAAACCGTTACATATGTTGGATTCTTTATTACGGTGATGTATTTAAAATTAGAATTATGCCCCAATAAGATCTCATCTGTCTTACTGTCTTCTATAAGGATTGATGCTTCATTTTTATGCTTGTTAATGTAGTTTTCAACTTTTGATCCCTGCCTCATGTCAAGATGTCTTGTCATCACAAATATAGAACGATACCTATGCCTAGAAAAATGTCAAAAATTTTATGGTCCAATAAATTCAAAAGCCCATGTCCATGGGGAAAAAATATTACTGAGTTAGAGGAGGAGAAAAAATATACATGGTTACCCCTCCACTCTTACATATAAGAGTTTGTAAAAGTGCTGTGTATATAAGTGGGTGTGTAAAAGTGAAGTCCTATATCGTTCGAGAGAGAGAGAAAGCTCAAGGTATAAATGCTATAATATATTATTGGGCTAGTGAATAGGTCTAAAGGAGAAGGAGGATTTCACGCGCATGACAACGGTCCAATGGAGGGAAACATAGTTGAAAACTGGTGATTCCCCCCTACGAGCGAATTAGAACAGAACTAGACACTTTTTACAAAACACTTTTGCAAAAATAAATTATAAAATGGTGTTAAGAGAGCTTATCAGAAAATCCTTATTTTGATTTTCAAATCATGATTAATCCTCCATTAATCCTTAAAACTGTTTGTCATGGATTAATGTCTAGTAACGTCTAGAATTTATTTCTTAAACGTACCTAATGTTCATAACCGAAGGTATAATTACGTACAGATTATTGCAATAACGTATGAAACCGACAGATCAATTAATGTGTTTATGGTGGTGCCCAACGATTAGGTGCCCTGAGGCCTATATAAAGCGGTCCAGGACAATGTGTTCTGCACCTCGCTCTTGAGCTTTCGAGCATCTGTTCCTCCTCCGCGTTTCTCTTCTTCCCTCTCTGTGTTTTGTGTTGCTGGATTATATTTTTTTTTTTCTGCTGTTTTGTTACCTTGTTTTCTACAGGAAGAGTTCGTTTAATCCTAAAGAGTGCGCGCATTCACTTTACCTACGATGACGGAATAACTCTTAAGGATAGTGTCTACCGGCATGACTCGGACCAAACTGATATATACTTCCAGTTTACTCAACAAAAGGACATGCTCTGGTCCTATCTCCTAAATTTATAATTTTTGTTTATAAACTACTACATATTAAGGGAGCTTTTTACGCGAAAGGAGTAATTTTTAATACAAATTATTGATGGGGTATTTTAAAAAAAATTAACACATCTCCTCCGGTCCTTAATATAAGACCCATTTAACCATTTAACTAATTTGATTAGATTAAGGAAGTTAGGTAAATTAGTTAATTATAAGAAAAGTGACACATTTTTCCTAAAACACCATAATCATCTTTCTTAATACCCCTTCTCCCTCTTCTACTTGATTATGGTTGAGGGAGTATCCATATGGGTAATTTAGAGAAAATTAAAAATATGAAAAATGGGTCTTATATTTGGGACCAAAATCAACTCAAGAATTGGGTCCTATATTAAGGACCGGAGGAGTATACCCATTTAACTAATTTGATTAGATTAAGGAAGTTAGGTAAATTAGTTAATTATAAGAAAAGTGACACATTTTCCTAAAACACCATAATCATCTTTCTTAATACCCCTTCTCCCTCTTCTACTTGATTATGGTTGAGGGAGTATCCATATGGGTAATTTAGAGAAATTAAAAAATATGAAAAATGGGTCTTATATTTGGACCAAAATCAACTCAAGAATTGGGTCCTATATTAAGGACCGGAGGAGTATTGTTTATTTATCAATAACTAACTTAACTATTTTTCTTAATCTCATACAAATTAATGACCTAACTTTTATATTTTAGGAAGATTAAGTAGGAGACAACAAAGCCATTATAACTCAAATGCAACAGGAAGATTTAATTTTGGTATAAGAGTGAAATTTAAAACTGTGATAGAACTGTCATGGACAAGTCCCGGACCATTTTAGACGTGGAATCAAATCTCATCAACCCCACTTTCTTTCCCATTAAAAAGAAATTACCCCACCGGCTGGGGCGGGTGGCTGGGTATCAAATCGTGGCAATTTGGAGAGTAAATACAATGTAATGGGCAAGTAGCTTGGGTAGCATTTTCGTCACGGTCTGGTCCAGCCACGTGAACACTGACCATGTGCTTGAAAATTCATGCGCTGCCCGTTTTGCAAGGCAACTCTTTGACCCTCAGAACATTGCTCATATTCATTCTACTGAGCACTGCTCACGTAATGCAGACCTAACATCAATGTTGACTTATTTTATTCGGAGGCTTTGAATAGCAACCACTCGGCATTTTCAAAGTGCTTCCCGGGAGGCTTCATCTTTGACAGCCTCTGTCCGCTTTATCACAGCATTTGAAATTAACATGATGCTCACAGGTCACAATTACTTTTTTTTTTTGCTAGGCATTGTATACTTTATATCGAAAGTAATTTTGTTTGAGGTATTGTTGAGTACTAATTGGATATTTTTCATAACGAAATAAATATTAACTCGTACATTGTGAATAACTAATCCTTTTTTTAAACCCAATCCTATTGATCATAATTACTCTATTTACTATTTAGCTACTAGAGTTCCATGACCATCCTTGAAACAGAGGATTTGAAAAAGAAGCCCAAACCCCCAAAATTACCTGCCCTTTTCTTATACATTTACACTCTCTTTGGATAAAAAATGTGAGCAACCTAACAATTTGGTCCAGTGCATGACTTAGAATTTAGAAATGAGTTGCCTATTATCCTGCTTGTGCCTGCATTATTAGCAGAGGAAAACCACCTGCATTTACAAATTAATTCACACACCAAACATTGTGGTTGCTAAAAATTTTATATTTATATGATGACATTGAATGAAATATCAATGAATATTGATGATGTTGACGAGGGATCTAAAGAATGACCGTAATATCGATGATATAATTTATTATATATTTAGGAAAAATATATAATTTTTGGTCTCCGAATTCTTTCCGATTACAATTCAATTCTCAAATTTTGACTTAAAACAATTCAATTTCTAAAATTTTAAACTTAAAACCAGAAAATCAATTTCGTAAAAAACAAATCGTATTTTGCAAAAGCCGGGTTTCACATAGTTGATTTTCCATGCCAAAATCAATTTTATGCTTTGACATTCAATCTTTTCTCATGTAATCAATATTATCAGTTTACTCAATAGTGTTAAAACTAGTTAACATAAGTCTATATTATTATACAATTATAGAGACTAAAGCTTTGGACAACATTAAAAATTAAAAAAAAACAATGAAAAATTATTTAAAAAATCAGAATTCACTAAAATAGGAGGACATGAAATGGGTCTGACTAAATTAAAGTTTAGGACTAAATCAATAATTAACAATAACGTAGCAATTAAAAACATCTTTTATATTTATTGATTTTTTTTTGCTAAATACATGCATTCTTTTATTGTAAACAATTTTATTTAAGGCATCAAACTCTTATTGATATATTTTATTGATATTAAAAGCAACATTTTGACTACAAAAATTAAAAATCCAAAATCAGGAACACGTTGGATGCCTATGAGTATGACTCTGCAACTACTACAAGTCTATCCGGTCGGTTGAGGCCCACCGCACCAGCCTACGCCTCAGACGCGGGTAGTGGGCCACGTTCTCTAAATTTAACCCCCCACGTCAGGTTCTTACTATAAATAGCCCCATACCGGCATCCCCATAATTGTTCTACGTAATTATAATTTCGTATTCTAATTACCAAATTTACAAAATTATAAATACCCCAAATAATTCTTTTATAATACGAATGGGTAGTAATAATAATAAGTAAATAATAATCCGTGACATTATCCCCCGTGGATTTTGCTTCTGTAGCTGCACTCACGTTTTATTCACCGTCTTTGGGTTCTTTCGTTTCAGACCATCGATAAAATTAAAAATTGTGGTTAGATTAGATAATAATTTAGTAATATCATTAATAATGGAGGCCCATACGAAAATGATGGCTTATGCAATGTGAAAGCGATGTGGGGCCATTTGCCGCTAATTTTGTCAAAAGATGCCCAAAACTTTGATTTCTGTCTCTCGCGTCTCTCCAATGCTGCTGACGCCACTCGCAACGCAAGCAAAACCCGGCTGGGGTCGCTGATGCCATCTCCCTCGTCACCAAAACGACTTCATCTCTTCACGACACAACCCTCTTTACGCCTCTCTTTCTCTCTCCGCCTGTGGTTTCTGTTCCTCTGAAAACGAAATACGAAGCTTCCGACATGATGTTTCATTGCTCTGCCCTTTCACACAGCCTGGTGATCTTATCGTGACTCTTATGCTCTGATCCCCAGCTGCCCTCTTTTCTTTCCTCTAGGAAACTTCCCCAGAATCTGCGCTTGGTCGTCTCTGATTCCAATCTTGTACTTTGATCCATCTCGGTTTTTCCTTTCTTAGAAATTTCTGGGTCGTTACAGCTTATGGTGGGTTTTGGGTTTTGAATGGATCTGATTGAACCACTCAGGAGTCTGGCTGGTGTGTCTTCAGACCGTGCTTGACATGAGAAGGCGCAGGAATGAGAATTGAGAGGTTCAAGGTGGAAGTTTTTGTATGTTTGGTCGGTGGGGTGGATGTTCCTTACCCTTTTCGGCATTAGAAGTTGGGATTTGTTGGTTGATAAGTGTTCCAATAAGTCGGCGCTCTGTATTTTTCTCCAATAGGATCTTGCAGCTGAATTATTCTTCAGATTAGCGTTTTTCCTCGATAAACTGTTTTGTATCACCTTCCAATTTTTGGTTGCTTTTGTTTCTTGGCTCGTGGTGGTAAAGTCAACAGGACCTCAACCGTCAGTACATCACATCCTACTTGCTAGCGATCCCGTTTGTTGGTGATTAAAAACCTTGTGGGAATCTAACAGGAAACTATAAGAGCACCGTGAAGTTAGATGTTATGTGAGCCATGATTTCCCCGCAGATATTCTAGATTTACTTTAGTTTTCGAGTCGATTGATGGCACATTCAGCAGAACCTTCATCATCTTTAAGCTTTACCTCGTCTTCCCACTTATCAAATGGCTCTGTCAGCCACAACATGTGCTCTTCCCACGGTGCTGAACCTTTACCAAACCTTGAAGCGCTCAGTTTGAGTAAGCTTAGCTCAAGTTTGGAGCAGCTTTTGGCTGATTCTGATGTTGATTATAGTGATGCTGACATCGTTGTTGAAGGAGAAACGGTTGGTGTTCATCGATGTATTCTAGCCTCTAGAAGCAAGTTTTTCCGCACATTATTCAAGAGAGATAAAGGATCTTCACAGAAAGAAGGAAAATTTAAGTATTGCATGAATGATTTGCTGCCACATGGCAAGGTGGGACTTGAAGCCTTTCACATATTCTTGTTCTATATATATACAGGAAAACTCAAGCCCTCTCCAATGGAAGTGTCAACTTGCGTTGATAATTTTTGTGCCCATGATGCCTGTAGACCAGCAATAAATTTTGCTGTGGAGTTGATGTACGCCTCTTCCATCTTTGAAATACCAGAATTGGCATCACTTTTTCAGGTATATATTCTATGTAATGTGATGACACACGGAGAATACCGCTATGCTCCTAGCACCTAACTATTTGGAAACCTTTAGTTTAAATTGTGAATAGTTTGATGAGGGAGAAGTTTCTTTTTGTGATGCTCTGATATGTGTTTTTCTATTGGGACACACATAAATCTTCTGAGTAGACATATATCTGTAACAGCATAATATGTTAGTAAACTAAAGCCTTGCTCGCTGCCAAAAAATGTGGAGTAGATTATCTTTATGCTATTACATAGGTTGCTGGGAGTCAAGTGCAGGAAGCCTCTTCCATCTTTGAAATACCAGAATTGGCATCACTTTTTCAGGTATATATTCTATGTAATGTGATGACACACGGAGAATACCGCTATGCTCCTAGCACCTAACTATTTGGAAACCTTTAGTTTAAATTGTGAATTTTGATGAGGGAGAAGTTTCTTTGTGATGCTCTGATATGTGTTTTTCTATTGGGACACACATAAATCTTCTGAGTAGACATATATCTGTAACAGCATAATATGTTAGTAAACTAAAGCCTTGCTCGCTGCCAAAAAAATGTGGAGTAGATTATCTTTAGCGTGTAAAAGTCAAAATTCATTTTCACATGAGTTTGGCAAAATAATGAATTCCGGAAGATTATCTATGCTATTACATAGGTTGCTGGGAGTCAAGTGCAGGAATAACAACCTAGAATTGTCAATTAGGTGACCCTTTCACTTAATTGATGGACTTGGCTATGATAAGTAACATGTCCTCAAATTTTTTTTGTATGCCTCATGGCAATTATTGGATGTTGCAGAACTCATAGTCCTTGCACCTTACAGCGTGTATCCCACCTGAAAACCAGACATATGCAATGGGTCAACCTCAGAATATGATACTCTTAAATTCTGTAAACTTATTAGAACTTATGTGAATAGCATCCATCAAGCTAAGCAAGTAGCTGTGCTCAAATGTGGATGTTTTCCTTTTCCATATTAGGGTTAGATCTGATCTTGATATTTTGATGTAGTAATGTTGAATATTGTATTACATATATCCAGTATCCAGAGCTTTGCTTCTTTCAAGCTGATGTCTTTGACTTGTACTTTGCACACATAAGATGCTTTGCTTTTCTGAGATCCTACATTTGATCAGTGCCTTTTAAAACGTGGAATACTATGGACTTTGGTTGAGGGCCAATACTTGCAGGATATTAATAGCAAACTAGTTCTTTCAATTCCATCTTTGATGAGGATGGATGATCTGAAATTAATCTGTTTCCTTAAATTCTTGCAGCGACGCCTCACTAATTTCATAGGGAAGGCTTTTGTGGAGGATGTCATCCCAATACTTACTGTTGCTTTTCATTGTCAATTGAGTCAACTTGTCGCCCAATGTGTTGATAAGATAGCACGATCAAACCTTGATCAAATCTCCATTGAGAAAGAGCTTCCCTTAGAACTTGCAGATAAAGTTAAACTGCTCCGCCGCAATTACCTTCATGATGTTGAAAACAACACCTCTGTAGTTGATGACCCAATACGTCAGAAGAGAATTACTAGAATACATAAGGCTCTAGACTCAGATGATGTTGAGCTTGTTAAACTGCTTTTAACTGAATCAGAGATAACATTGGATGAAGCCAATGCTCTTCACTATGCTGCAGCCTACTGTGACCCTAAGGTTGTTTCTGAGGTTCTAGCTTTGGGGGAGGCTGATGTCAATCTTCGGAATTCTCGAGGCTACACTGTGCTTCACATTGCTGCCATGCGTAAGGAGCCTTCAATTATAGTATCCCTTCTAACAAAGGGGGCTTGTGCATCAGAGGCGACCTTTGATGGTCAAAGTGCTGTTAGCATCTGTAGGAGGTTAACAAGACCAAAGGACTATCATACAAAAACAGAACAGGGGAAAGAAACGAACAAAGATCGCATATGCATTGATGTTCTTGAAAGAGAAGTCCTGAGAAATCCAATGGCTGGGGATGCTATAATTTCTTCCCACACAATGGCTGATGATCTGCACATGAAGCTACTATATCTTGAGAACAGAGGTGCAATTTCATTGGCATTCCTAGTCGTTTATTCTTTGTCTGTCTTCTGTACATTTTCCTCTAAGGTCCAGGGTTTAACCTCCCAGCAACGATTGTTTTCTCTAGCGTCACTGGGTGTGATTGCACTGGATTATCATGAAAGTGAGAGCAGTAAATCCTATCAATTAAAATCTAGAAGTCTGACTAACTGATATACCAACTTTATTACTTCACCTAACCTGACAGTAAGCTTTTCTGTCGCACTATGTCTAACTTCAATGATTCCTCAAAATTGGCTGGACTAATGCTTATTCTAAGGATATGATTTTTCTTAGTGAATAATAGTCAATATTTTCTATTCTGGGTGCTTGGGCTTTATTTTAAAATTCCGTGTAGAGCAAGTGGTTTTGTCTCATTCTTTTTGTTAATATTATATGGATATAATTCTATTCAATGCTTAATTGAGGGATTCTATCTGGTCTGACTAAACCATCAGACCAAACTTTAAACTACTAAAATCATCGTGACTGATTTTGATTTAGAGGACCCGGATGAAGGATATCATTTGATACCTTAACAACGGTAGGGCTCCATGCAAGTGCAGCTTCCTACAGGTTTATTTTTCGTATTGATATTGATTAATGGGAGTGTGGAGATTTTTCTCCCCTAACAGAATCCCTGAGATAAGATTAACGCGCTGGAAAACTTTTGGCATTTTGTACTTTTTTCTTTTTTTGGCTTGATGGTGTTTCAGAATTTTAAATAAGAAACGCCTGATCATTAATTGGGGAATGAAATATTTGCTGCATTCTGCCCTGAGGATATCGATTGCCTTCAAAGAGCTATTAGATGAATTAAAATTCTTAATCATTGAGTTGAGAGATCCAAATTGAGGAAGAAAGCGACTATTTGGACGAAGCATCGAACTGAGAGCCAGTATAAGGACTTTCCCTTTTTGAGGCCTCTGCCACTTGAGGCCTTCTATTATGTTCTTTTATTTGCATTGTTTCTGAGACTTCAATAATGGCTTATTCTTCTATAATGTTTTCTAAGAATTTTACTTGTTCATGCATTGTATCCTTAGACTCTCAAATAATAATTATTGCTACAAATTGCAGTGGCATTTGCGAAACTATTCTTCCCTTCAGAAGCCAGATTGGCTATGGACATTGCGCATGCTCAGACAGCATCCGAGTTTGCAGGTCTTTCTACATCAAAAGGGTCAAATGGGAATTTGAGGGAGGTCGATCTAAATGAGACTCCCCTGGCGCAGAATAAAAGACTTCGTGCTAGGATGGATACCCTTATGAAAACAGGTAATTAAAAGTCTGAGCATTCTTAACTTTTCTACCTCCTTTTATCTGAGCTCAGCAGGAATCTGTCTTCATTTGTTATCTTTGTTTCCACATACTATTATGTGTTAAGTTCATAATATCGGCATGCTATCATTTATTGGCATCTTGATTTTGTTTTTGCAATTTCTATCTGTTTTGAAGTAAACGTATTAATGATACTGAAGAAACAGGGCAAATGCTTTGGAAGGCTCAAGGAGATATGTTAATGCCATATTATATTTATAGTAGGAAAAGGAATATACAGCAAATGAAATAAGCATTGTTATGTTAAAGAATATACTAGCCTTCTGTCTACACCTACTTCTCACGTTTTTAAACAAGAGAAACAAGTTTCTTTCAGATTGTCTTTGGTTTTATTACTTCAAAATTTTTTCTGTTGTTCTATCGTTAACTCACGCTTAAGCACTCACACATGGCTCGTGTTCTCTGGACACATGCAATCCTCTTCACAATTAACCATACTCTTGTTACATACTGGCAAAATCTATTTAAAACAGAAATCAGGCAGCTAGACTGTGTAATACTGAATGTGGCAGATGAAGGTTGATTAAGTTCTGTGATTTAGTGAATGTCTCCAGGTTTTCCAATTTCAAAGCAGTGTGTAATTTTCAAATCACTTAAAACAAGATATGCATACCCATGCTGCTGAAACTGGTTTATTACATGTTGCTTCCCAGGAATTCTATTATGGTTAGACATTTTATCTCGCCTTTGGCTTGGTTTGCAGTCACATATTTTATGCAACGCTTCTATTCAACTACGAATTAATCATCATGCGGTATTTTACATTCATATTTGAATGAAAATTGCCACTTAATTATAATGATGAATAACTTAGTTGTGAAATGTCTGTTTCACATCTGTCGTGAACATTTTTGGTCTTTTAAATTCATTGCTCAGAATGAGATGTTTTGTTTTTTGGAACAAAAAGATTTAGATGGTTTTAATCACAAAATTTCACCCTAATGCTTACAATAGCCTCAAGTTGCAAGTCAAACAGAGTTACTTTCAATTGTAAAATTGTTCATCAGTGGCCCGAAAAAATTGTGAAATTGCTTATCATTTTAACATTTATTTGATTATTTCTGTTAAAACTAATATAAAATACTCCACATGATGGTTAAATGCTGACTCAACAAAACGTACTGAGAGCTTTAGACCTGGACTTGGTAAATTATATTTCCTGGTTTTTGTTCAAAAGCATTGTGTGATAGTGCTGATGGTGTTTAATCATAAATCCATGAGGTTCAAGTGTTGAAAATGACCTATCCAAAGAAGGGCCAACAGTGGCATTAATTGTTTTGACGCAAGCTGGTTTTCCTTTTGTATTTATATGGCTAGTAAGCCTGTGTTCTAATTAAAAGCTCCTTTAATTTTGTTCTTGCACTTGCCGTGGTGGCAGTTGAGATGGGCCGGCGCTATTTTCCTCATTGCTCGGAAGTGCTTGACAAGTTCATGGAGGATGACCTGCCTGATTTGTTTTACCTGGAGAAGGGCACCCCAGATGAGCAGAAAATCAAGAGAGCACGTTTCATGGAGCTCAAAGACGACGTTCAGAAGGCTTTCAGCAAGGACAAAGCTGCTGGGCTTCCCTCATCATCATCCTCATCATCTTTGAGAGGCTCTGTAAATTACAAGGCTAGGAAAGTTTGAAAAGATGCTTTAGCTTCTTTTTCTCTGTTTTATGGTTTTGCGTTCATGATGTAAAAGACCCGATCAAAGGTGATATGACTCCCTAGTGTAAAAATAGAGAAGGAAGAGATGTTCATATTTCACTTGTGTAGCTTATCGTGCACAAGGATTTTGAAGCACGATATGCAGAATTGACCTAAGCCTTGTGAATCATAATCGCTGTCCACAGCTCTGGCAGGGCATTGTGTAACTGAACGTGCGCAGTATTTTTTTTTTTTCAAGTAACAAGGAAACAGCACAACATACTGTTTAAGAGTAATTCAGTTCTTGCAGTTGCGGAGCCACCTCTCAATTGAAGTACGTGCTTAGGGCGCATTTAGTTTACTGATTAACTATGTGCTTGCTTAATTTTATACTCTTCTGATCTTTAATATAGAATCAGATTTGAAAGTTGATACTGTTCTTATGTCTGATATTTATTTCACATGTTTATTAATTTTTTTCAGATTAAATTTATTGATATTTTTTTAATCATAATCAAATAGAAGAGGAAAAGAAAATAAAAAAAAATGATAAGAGTTTTACAAAAAAAATGTATTATATTCACTAATCTCAATTAAATAACATCCCTGATGTATTTAAATTAATTAAGTACTATTACGAACCATCAAATCATGATTTTGGCAAAACCCGAACATTCTTTATGCAGCAGCCAAAACATCCACTTGTCACTCACACAAGTACTGAGCCATCAGCGTTCGTCCAAGCGAGTCCTGATTCGGTAGTTTCCAACAAAGTTCCACAGGTCAAACTTCTTCTGATTCAATCTGATTTCGTTATTCTGTACCGTTCTCAATATGCACAAGGTTTGCAGATTGTCGGTTCCCGCACGAGAAAGATCGTAAACAGAAGTATATATTATTTTAAATCTTGTATAGATAAGAGAAAGCTAACAAACTGTGATCTTGTTATTAGTAATATTTTTATTTTTAATAAAAAAATTTGTTTAATTTTTATTTTGGTTTTAAATATAAAACTCATATCTATTTTATTTTTTATATTTATTTTTTTAATATAATCTCTGTAATAATAATAATTCTAACTAATATGCTGAATTAAAAAGACTATTTAAAAAGACAAAATTTATTTATTATAAATAACAAATTTAAATAATTTTATTAATCTATTTAAATTAATTAACTAATTCATATAAAATCAGAAGGTAGTATTAAATTGCACTTCTAGTTGAAAGCAGACAAAATTTGTTATTGTTTTCAAAGAATCGGCAAAAAAGACAAGAATGATGGGGTTGGTCCCTGGGTTGGTAAGCTACCCTCACGCGCGCGTCGCCGTGGTCCTCCGAAAGTCTCCGCCAGTTTACCATAGAGCCGTTCGAATCTTCGCCCTCAGTTTCTCCGTCACTTCCCCACGCTTTCCTTCCCCATACTATATTCTCTCTCGACTTACCCGGAAGCTTCTGGAATCTCTCTCCTTTACTAACAACTCAACCCCTCTTATCTTACATTAGCGACGAAGTAAAGCTAATCCTAGTAATTTGATCACCCCCACTCGCATTATACTGTCCCCTCGCGTTGCTCATCAGCCTGACAATCATCCTAGTTCTCTTTTCTTGTCCCTTTGCATTGTTCACTCTCATTTGACATTTCCTCTTAGTTTCTTTCGGATTCTTACTTTCTCCCGATTACTCCAATGGAAAGAGGTGGATACGGTTATGGTGGCGCCGGTGGCTACAGGGGAGCTCCGAGAGGCCGGCATGGTGGCAGATCAGGAGGAGGACCACCGCAAGGCCGTGGTGGAAGAGGCTTCCATCACCAACCACAGTCTCAGACTGATCGTTCCTGGGGCGAGGACACTAGGAGAGGCGGTTATGGTAGGGGAGGATCTGATAGAGGTGGATTCAGAGGACGAAGAGGTAGAGGTACTGGCAGAGATGGTGCTGGACCTCCAGTTTGGGTAGCCACTGAATCGGTTCAATCTCGCAGTTCTGCTCCTGATCCAGGTATTTCAAACCGATCATGTTCTATTTTATGATGCGCTTCTCTAGATGTTGTTAACTGCATCCATCGATTATTGATATGGCATGTGTTTAGTCGTATGTCCCTGTTTTCAGTTATGAAATAATATGATTATTCATCTGAAATTCTTCCTTCACAGTCTTTTTTTTTTTTTTTGGTTTAAAACATTCAGTTTTATTATGCGATAATGTTGTATTCGGTATTTATTAACACTATGTCTATTATATCATATTACTCTTAAATCCACACTGCTGATTTCCGTTATAACTCGTGCGGCTGGTAAGTGGTAATACGAGTAGTAGTATATCCAGGCTTAATGAATTTTATTTATTTACTTATTTCCTATTATTTTTTATTGCGCAGTTTCAGAATTGGAACGGCTGCAAATTTCACAGCCGGTTCCAAGCTCGTCTCATTCCCAGGAGAGGAAGGATAAGATTTCACCCGTTCATAGGCCTGACCAGGGTGGTACATTAGCAATTCGAACTAGCAAGCTTCGTGTCAATCACTTTCCCGTCAGGTTCAGGCCTGATACTATACTGATGCATTACAATGTTGATGTGAAGCCCATTTCGCCGGCCAGACCAGGTCGACCTCAAAGAATATCGAAGTCTGACCTCTCTATGATTAGGGAGACATTGTTTTCTGGTGACACTAGGCTGCCGTTGGAGCAGACAGTGTATGATGGAGAAAAGAATATTCTTAGTGCGGTTCCTTTGCCAGAAGAAACCTTCACGGTTACTATCTCAGCAGGAGAGGATGAAAAAAGCTATTCTTATAAGGTCACCTTGACACTTGTTAATAAGCTTGAGTATCGCAAGTTGAACCAATACCTCAATAAGGAACTTATGTCAGTTCCCAGAGACATTTTGCAGGGGATGGATATAGTGTTCAAGGAAAACCCAACCAAGCGTACAATCCCTGTGGGACGTAGTTTCTATCCTTCAAATCCTCCTATGTTACATAAGGATCTCCGCCATGGCATAATTGCGCTGGGAGGATTTCAACACAGTTTGAAGCCTACATCTCAGGGTTTGTCCATATGTCTGGACTACTCTGTCTTATCTTTTCGGGAGCGAATGTCGGTCTTGGATTTTCTATATGAGCGTATTAATGGTTTTAGATTGGAGGAATTTGGACGTTTCAGGAATCGTGTTCAGATGGAATTGACTGGGTTGAAGGTAAATGTGATACACCGGCGGACCAGACAGAAATATACCATTTTAGGGCTAACAAACCGTAACACAAGGCATATTACCTTTACTCTTAAGGATCCAGAGGGCCGGAATGAGCCGCAGCAAGTCACAATTCTGGACTATTTCTGGGATAAATACAATAAGGATGTTGAATACAAAGATATTCCTTGTTTGGATTTTGGGAAAGGAGTTAATGTGCCGATGGAGTTTTGCATCTTGGTTGAGGGTCAGAGATACCCCAAAGAGAATTTGGACAGAAATGCTTCTAGGGAGTTGAAAGATATGTCATTGGCCTCTCCAAAGGATAGACGGAGTGTCATACAATCGATGGTAGAGTCAAGTGACGGACCTTGCGGGTAAGTTGAATTGTATTTAAATGATTTGTTTTTCCCTTATGAATATGTTTTGGAAAGGTTTATTGCCTTTTTCATGATTCTTACTGTTTTGTGAAAATTATAATTATAACTATTAGCCAAGTTATGTGAAAATTGTTTTGAAGGTATGGTGCATCAGTTTTTTAACTACTCGTTCCCATCTTGCCTCCTTGGTACTTGAAAAGCTTTTTTCTTTTTTTAAGATGGAAACCCATTTTATTTTAATTTTTCATTTTAAAACGCATTTTAATTTAATGAAATATGATTAAATAACTAAATACGCCGAGCTGGTTGTTTAAAGTTTGCTTCAGCTTGGCACGTCAGTTCACATTCATGGTTTTTTTCTCATGTTGATTCATGGTAACCTTGCTCGGGTAAAGCATAATTGACCCCCTATAGATAATGTTGTTTTCTGGAATATTGTTTTCTTATTTTATTGCTAACATCTCATATAAATGATTTTAATCCACAGTGGTGGTATTATTCAAAATTTTGGAATGGAAGTCAATACAACCATGACTACCGTCTTAGGACGCATTATTGAGCCCCCAAAATTGAGAGTAGGCGGTCGAAGTGGCCAGATTATGACTGTGACGTTGGATCCGGAGAGATGTCAGTGGAATTTGGTTGGCAAATCTGTGATACAGGGCAAGCCAGTTGAGCGTTGGGGCATTATTGATTTTACAAGATCAGAGTCAGATTCCCGGTTCAAATTAAGGTGCAACGATTTCGTTCCTAAGCTTAAAGGCAAATTCAGAAGTCTGGGCATTAGCATGAATGATCCTCTTTGGGTTGAAGGATGTTCAATGAATCAACTTGCAAATCATGGTTCACTATCTGCATTACTTAAGAGAGTGAACGATCGGGGTCAAGTGCAGTTTATTTTGTGTGCGATGTCTCAGAAACATTATGGGTACAAGACTCTCAAGTGGATTTCAGAGACCATGATTGGTGTGGTGACACAATGTTGTTTGGCTGGTACTGTGAATGCGGGGAAAGATCAAAATCTTACAAATCTTGCTCTCAAGATCAATGCCAAACTCGGAGGCAGTAATGTTGAGCTTGAGAATAGCCTCCCTTGCTTTCCAAGTAACAATGGGCATGTTATGTTTATAGGGGCGGATGTCAATCATCCTGCCGCTCGAGACGTTAATAGTCTATCGATTGCTGCGGTGGTTGGAACTATCAATTGGCCTGCCGCAAATCGTTATGTGGCCCGTGTTAGTCCTCAATCACATCGAAAAGAACAAATATGCAATTTTGGAACAATTTGCCTCGAACTTGTCAATTGTTACAGAAGGTTGAACAAAGTGAGACCGGAAAAAATTGTTATTTTCCGCGATGGGGTGAGTGAGGGTCAGTTTGACATGGTTCTTAACGAAGAGCTACGGGATTTGAAGAGTGTTTTCCAAAAGGAAAAGTATATTCCAACTATAACTTTGATTGTAGCGGCAAAGCGACATCAGACTCGATTGTTTCAGGAGGATCCTTTCGCTGGAAATGTGTCTCCTGGAACAGTGGTGGACACAAAAGTTGTGCATCCTTTTGAGTTTGACTTCTACCTTTGCAGTCACTATGGAAGCTTGGGGACCAGCAAGCCCACTCACTATCATGTCTTGTGGGATGAGCATCGGTTTACATCTGATGACTTGCAGAAGCTCATATATGATATGTGTTTTACATTTGTAAGGTGCACCAAACCTGTATCTTTGGTCCCTCCTGTGTACTATGCTGACCTTGTTGCTTATCGAGGACGGCTATACTATGAAGCAAAGACTGAGTTGGAGAACTCGAAGCCAGGATCGCTTCCTTCTACGTCTGCAAGTGAATGCAACTTTTCCAAGCTGCATGAGCATCTCGAAGACATGATGTTCTTTGTCTAAGGGGGAAGACATGATGTTCTTTTTCCAAGGGGCCTCTAATCAATTATTTCACTACTCATGGTTGGGTCTCATGGTACTTGCTGGTTGCAGCGCTGATTTGAGTTTGTGCGTGAATCTAATGGGTTCTGCTCTTTCTTTTTAGTTGTGCTTTCTTTGTTTCGTTTTCCATGAAATATATGTACACAAAAACCAGAGTTTAATGTATTTGCATGCTATTCATAATTTTATGTTTTTGTGACTAATATGGTTTTTAACGCTTTGAATCACGAGCGATTTTGATGTCTTCTGTACAAATGTGTCACAGTAAATATTTTTTTAAAAACAACTTTCAGATTTTTTAATTATAAATGTGTGCTTAAAAAGTTCAATAATTGCTTTCATTTTAGAGTTTTATTATTTATAATTTTTATATTTTCATAAATAATGTCTTTTTATAACTTTTATGGTTTGAGTAACAAGTCGCATTATTTATATCTATCTTGACTAGCTATCCACTTTATTTTCATAATATATCATATAGAGTGTTTCACGCGGGTAACAAAATGTCTTTTAAAAAAAAAAAGTAACAAAATTTCAGCATCTAAGACACGTATTTGCGCTAAATAAGTTTTGTTATTCAAAAAGATTTTTTTTTCCCACAGTAATACTGTAATCGGTGGCCATGTTACCACACGCAGCGTAACAATATTCTCAAAATTTTGTAGGCACAATGAGAACAATCGTGATCTAATTTGTCAGATTGAAAAAGTTTATACATACAATAGACTTTTCCATTTTCATTCTATGCCAAAAAGTTGAAGTCAAGAGATTATATGACAATGACCAAAAAAGAGATTATAATACAAATATTCTAAGCTTTTTTCTTGTGAATTCTTCAAAATAGGCTTAAAATTTAACATTTTTTTAATGGAGGATCTGAACGCACACTCATACTATTTGAACGACGACGTTTAGATTATTAGAGAAATTGCCCGCTCCTCACGAAGACTTTCATTCTGGAGAGGGCCCATGTCAGCTCCTCCAAGTCAGGCCCATTCTGGATGTTGATGTTTGGGCCCAAGCCTGTAGCATGTCTCTTTCTCTGTTTTTTGTTGTGACAAAGATCAAGCCCATAGCGAATATGATAGTCGAATATAAGTTCATTAAAAACAATTAATTTTTAAATATCAATAGGAGTTGGGTCTAGCAGAAATAGCTAGTCTCTCACAACGTGGCCAACCAAGATTTGAATCTTAGCTGGGAGAGGTGCCTACATTTAGTACTTGACAGTGCTTTAAATAGGATTACTTTCAATATGAGGATATCTATGCTTTGACCCAAAAAAAATTAATTTTTAAATTAAAGCGTGAAGTTTGACTTAAATGAGTCTAGATTACGCACTTATTGAAAAGTTTGACAATAATGGGAGTGCTTTGTTCCCCTGAGAAGGCAATATACTACCTCCGGTCCTATTTATAAGAGCTAGTTAACTAATTTGAGAAGATTAAGAAAAGAAGTTAAGTTGGTTACTTGTAATAAGTAAGTATTGTCTTTCCTAAAATATCCTTACTAATCAAGTGTATTGGCTAAAACTTTTGTTGTTAGAAGGACTATCTTGGGAAAAAGTGTATAAATATGAGAGACAAAGTGGATTGGGATTTTATATTTAGGACCAAAATAAAAGTCAAATAAAGTCTTATATTAAGAACCGGAAGTAGTATTATTTTTCTTTTGCCATAGGCAGTACTTAGAGCTGGCTATCCTTAACAATCCATTACATCAGCAAAAAGGAACCCCCACTCTAGAAAAAACTTTAGTCAATGGCATCTGCGCAGACTTCTTTTTTATATTTCCATGATTTTAATCAACATTAATGGAAGTCCAGTGCATCTCTTCTCAGTCGCACGTTATCTATCGGATCGGAAACTTTTCATTATTTTTTGTCTGTCACTGGCAATCTATTGGATTCATCTTTATGGGATCTGTTGGATTCATCTTCATGGGATCCAAGCACACTCGTCCTTTGTTCCTTGTTAGTTAATCAAGTGGGCAAGACTCTGAAGCTTCATCTTTACACCCAGGCACTTTGCAGGGGCTTAATAGCAGATATAAGGAGTTTGCTTTCTTTTTTTCAGAACGTTTCTTTTGGTATCATATCTAGTTCTTTCTTTTTTTAGATGTGTTGGAATCTGGCTGTACTTCCTCGACTATTATATTTCTTTAATATTATTTTAATATCATTTTGTCTTTTGTTAAAAAAAGAAAAAAAATATTTCTGTATTTTTTTTTCACTTGGTCATGATAGTTGGCAGAAAAACCTGGTCATAATTAATAATTTATATGTCGTGAAAAATTCAAAAGGAGTTGAGATTTCAGTATTCCATCCATTTTATAATTTCCTCTTGTAACAAAACAGCCTTTTGTTTTTCAAAAAGAAAAAAAAAGACGTTGGCAAATATTCCCTTTTGTCCTGTTTTAAATGAAAATGTTAGGTGTCATGAGCTACCATCGTTTATAAAACTAAAATTAAAAAGAAATTACAGCCTAGGGAGGTCAGAAAATGATTGAAACTGAATACTACCTCCGGTTCTAATTATAAGATCTTGTTTGTAGATCTCATTTATAAACTACAAATAAAATCTTATAATTAGGACAGGAAGTAGTACTATTTATGGTTTATATAATTGTGCTAGGAAGAAAACAAAACACTTGATGCTGTGTTACGTTGAGATGCAAATAATTAATAATCATGCTGCCCACTAGGCACTGCATTACTTTTTCCACATTATTCCTGATATAATGTTTGATTTTTGTCATGAAAATAAGGAAAATATAAGAGATTGGGACAAAGGAGATGAAAAGGACAAGACAAATTGGGAGGAAACGAGGAATTTTTATTTACCTCAAGGTTTTTTTTTTTTGGCGATAATATTTACTTCAAATTTATGATCACTTGATACATGTTACTACCTTTGGTCCTTAATATAAAAATTAATTTAGGGTTGAATTTGACCTTAGGTATGAGATCTTAATTTATTTTTTTCCTCAAATTTATAATATTTTCTCTAAAATATCGTTATTAATTGTAAGGGAATATATTGAGGGAAAGTATAATACACACGATTAAAGAGAATATTTTAGAAAAGTCACCGCACATTTATTATAATGAACTAACTTAATTAATTTTTTTAGTCTTATCAAATTTATTATATAGCTTTTATATTAACCACCGACCGGGGTATTAGTATGACACTTTGTAAATATTTCACCAATAAAATGTACGCATGCAAAGTCTGAGCAATAGCATAACTTCCTATTTTTTGACCTCAAATGCATCTTGCACAGCATAACTCATATAGTAATATAATAACAGCTTTACTTGGTTACTTCTCATTGTGTATACGCAAATCTCATATATGTATATAATTAAAATTTATTCAACTCTCAAACAGAAAATTAATTAGCATAGTTTGTCGGATAGACTGGGTTGATATCAAATACTAAGCGGCCACTATCTAAAGTGCATGTACTCCTCTGGTTGAGTAGTTTTCAATATCAATATCAAAGTAGTCACTTTGAAGTGCAGCTAAAAGGGTGATTGAGTTTTCAACTCTGTTACTTTTTAGGTTTTGCTCTATTACTTCTTTTTGTCTTTCTTTTTGTGGATGTCTTGTTGGCTCTGTGATCTTCTCTTTTTGTAGGTTAAATCCGTTTGTGTTGAGTGCTGGTTTAATTGTGTCATGATCACTAGTTCTCTAATTTTTGTTTTTAAATTGCAAATGTTCTTTCTCCCTTCTTTCATAGAGAGGGGGATCTTTGTTGCTGCTTTTGTGTGTGCAACTTTGATGGGTGGGCTCAGGAGAGCATGCCTTTGAACAACCACCCTCTCTTGCTCTTTCCTTTGATCATGGTGGAAATAAAAGCTGGCTCCCTCTCTTTCAAGTTTCAACTTGCAAGTTTTAGGGGATGTTTTGATGAAAACTAAAAACCATAGTGATGTTAGAAGTGATTTTACAGCATGTAAAGTAGACATGTAAAGGAGTTTAATTATCTTAATTTATAAAAAAATACTTTTAAAAAGTACTTATGGGAATATCCAAATTGTTCTTGCATTTTTATTTAAGTTTGGCCAGACACACGTACGTACCTTCATCATTCTTTTTTTTTTCCTATAACTGAGATGTAGTGCACGTAGAGAGGGGGGGGTGTTATGTTCTATAAATAGCGCCCCGCCGCTCATCAAGCTTCATTCACATCCGTCTTCATCCCCTCTCATCAATCTCTCCCAGAAGAAAGCAGCGATATGGCCTCCTTCACTCATAACCCTAGCCATATAAAACCTCCAAAGGTTCAAATCCCTGATGCCCAGGGCACCTTCTCCCTCGCATCAACGTCGTCACCCCAGGCCCCTAACCACATAAGATCTCCAAAGGTTCAAATCCCTGATGCCCAGGGTATCTTCTCCCTCGCATCAACCTCGTCACCTCAGGCCCCTAACCACAAAAGATCTCCACAGGTTCAAATCCCTGATGCCCAGGCCACCTTCTCCCTCGCATCAAAGTCGTCGCCTCAACCCGCTGGCCCCTCTTCTTCTTAAGTCTCATTGTATTATCCTCAGGTTTTGTCTCTTAAAAGAACGCACGCTGTGGATATGGAACACAGTACATTATTTATGACTTCAATATATATTGAGAGAAGCTAAGGGCGCCTTCTCTTAAGTCTTAAGAATATGACTCAGAAAACTACTTATTCTTTGAAAGAACTTCCAAGAAAGAAGACGTTGCCGAAAGCGCTTTGTAATTAGAATGGTGGATCCAATGTATGTGAGGATATATATGTGCGGCGCATGGACGCTTCATTCACATATGCTTTCCATTAATCCCAAAGTATAATAATTGTGAGTGATAAATTTTCTTCTATTTTTATATAGAATAAAGAGAACTAATTCCCAAAAAGGATGCTCAAATGGTAGCTTGCTTAATTAGCAACACACCCCCATTGTTTTGGTTACTAGCTTGATCGGATCAATTATTATTCTGCCCCAGATCGTTCGTGATTATTTTTCTTTTCTTTGGTGTTGCTGTTCGTGAAATTTGCAAAATGACAGATTAACAGTCAATACACCAATTCAACTTTAATTCATTAATTATCAATTCGATTGAGAACGCATCTAACATAAAAGCTAACTTAACTTTGACCACTTTCGTTAATATTTTGCAAGTAATTGTAACATGATGGGCAACATTTAATAAAAAGATAAAGAAACGCGTGTACT